GCAGGGACACTGTTCAAGCTTCTCCCTGAAGCGGGGCTGATGTGGGAGTCTCTCGTGCAGAAGTGGCTGCTGGGCTCTGTTTTTACATTTGAGCCCAGTTAGCCTCCAGGAGCCCTTCTCAACAGGTCCATTCATTCTCGGGGTCAAACAATGAATCTTCTGGGAATGAACACACAGAACCTTGCATCGTGGCTTAGGCAATGGTCACCAACGTAAATCCCTTCCCTTTCCCTTTGACAGAAAGAGTAATGGGAACAATAACACTGAATGGAAATCGACCAGAGGGTGCAGGGCCCCTGACTTGTTCTGGAGGGTCTCCCACAACAATGATAACAGCAGGCAAGAGGGTCCAGGAAAGGTGTAGGACATATACTCCCAAAAATACTTAAGAAGGAAAAATAATCTGCTTCCTGTCAATCAGCAGTTCTGGGGCCTCTAAGGATTTCGGTTGTCATGTGTGACCCTGGGAAAGCCTAGTTCTGGGGAATTGTCATTTGATTCCACTGAACAATTACTTTTTCCAACCTTTCCGCAAATCAATGTGTCTGTGGGACCGCACTGTGGCCAGGGAGCTGGAGCAAGGTTGCTGGTGGGCTTCTAAGAAAGGAGCTGCGCAGCCAGCATTCACTGTTGCCCTTTCTTCTGCCTTAACTATGGGTGTGGTGGCTGGAGCGCCCTCAGCCATGGAGTGCCCTCTGGGATGGAAGCTGAGGAGGGTGAGACAGAGAGAAAGGAGGCCCCTGGCGCCGGAACCACCAGGCCAGTAGCACACCACCCAGCTCTCCTACGTAGGTACTGTGACTTGGGGCTTCTACTGTATACAGCTGAATCTCATCCGACCCACTCACTGTAAGAGCCAAATTTCAGTTAAGCCAAAGGAAGCAGAGGAGGAAGGGTAATAGCCTTTGGACTTCCCAAGCCCCTTACTTTCAACATCTAGGTGAGAGGAGCAGAAGGTGGGATCAAAAGTGAACCTAGGGAAAGGAGGGCACTGAGACAGACTTCTTTAGGCTTGGGCTGTTGCTTTCACATGTATTAGTTCATCTTCACAACCACTCCGGGGGAGGGGGGGAGTATTATTGTCCCACCTCCCAGGAAGGGCCTCTCTGGCAGGACAAATGGCTGCAGGTCCAGCTCAGGTCCACCACACAGTAGGGCCTCAGCCACCAGTCCTGTATCTATGACTCAGGACAGGAGGTGTATCCCTCACTGCCAGGAGCCCTACCTCTGCTGCGGGTATGAACTCTGTGACTTGCCCAGGTTAGGGGGATGGTAGGTGGAAAACAGATTTTTCAGGCTCCTGCTGGAAGCAACCCACTGACCCCTATGGAAATCCTGTCAGGAAGCCTGAAATCCCTTGTGTTAGTTAAAAGATATTCAAGATAGAAGGTAGCCCTGACCAGTGTGGCTCCATTGGTTGGGAATCACCTCACAAGGTGAAAGGTCTCTGTTTCAATTCCCAGTGTGCGTGTGTGCCTGGGTTGTGGGCCCTGTCCCCAGCTGGGGGTGTGCAGGATGCGATCAATCAATGTTTCTCTCTCACATTGACATTTCTCTCCTTCTCTTGCCCTCTCTCTGAAAATAAATAAATAAATATTTTTTAAAAAGATAAATGGTTAAAATTGTGATACAGGTAAATATTTGACAAGATTATAAAACAATTTACCATAGGGTACATATAAATGTTTAACCTGTATAAAGCCAAATAAGCTTTGTAACTTTGCAGGTTTTACTGTAAAGAAATCTTACCTGCTTATTCACTGTGTGTGTAAGAAAGAAATCTGGTGGGTGGAAACAGATGAGGGAAAGTGTGGAACCGTAGTGTTATCTGCTTTCTGGTTTTCTAAAATGAACGTGTATTGTTCTTGTAAAAAGAAAAAATGTAAACGGTATCTTTCATTTGTCAAAAAATAAATTAACAGAGCCACTTGAAGACTGAGTGAGAGCCGCTGTGCATGATGTAGGTCTCAGCCCTTCGCGGTGTTCGAACGGGGCAGAATCACCTTTGCGCCAGACCTGGAGCAGCACTGTGCCCTGGGAAGCCCTCTGCAGAGCCAACCAGAAGGCAGCTATGGGACTGATGACTAACTGGGCTGAAAACTGAAAACGGTTTGTAGAATTATCACCACTGTTACCTGCACCAGAAGGAATGCCTGCCTTCCGGGGATGTGATTGTTCCCCTTCTCCGTCTCACAGACACCCATTGCCTTTGTCTCCTAATCCGAACATTACTTGGGTCTCTGCCTGAATCAGTGATTCCCAAATAGCTCTTCCTTTAGTTACTGCAAAGGGTGCTGGGCCCCAGGCATGTCTGCTCCGGACCAGCTTGTAGTGTGTGGGTCTTTGACTTCATGCAGGAAAGATTTTGTAACACGAGTCCAGGTGACTACGAGGGTATGTTTATGAGAGCTGGGGACAGTGAAAGTAGGAAGGGCCTCTGATAGAAGCAGCAACAGGAAAGAGCTTAGGCGGGGCTGCCTGGTTCTCCAGAAACGTTATAGGAAAGAAGTGAGCCCAGTGGGCATCCCAAGATTCAAAAATTATAAAGTCTTTTTCTTGACCTTTGAGATTTTTAAGATCTTTGGAGTTTTTCAGAATAATTCCTGAATCACTTCAAATAAAATTTCTCTTTATAAAAGGGGAAAGTTAAACTAATTAGGCTTATTTGGTATGTTAAATGATATGGGAAGCATTAATTTATGTCAAATAAATTATGTTAAACCTTTGATTATATTTATATAGCTATGTTATAAATGCAAAAACATTTACATTCTGTGTCTCTGAAAATTATAAACACTCTCATGTCTTTGAAATGTAAATACTCAGAACATTGCCCACAGAAACTAAAGGGGGGAAAATGGCCTTTTAAAAACACAAATTGCTGTGTAAGCTCCCTTATCAAAATTAAATATGGTTTTTACAAAGCCACTGGAAAATAGTAAAAATAAAGCAAAATGACTGTATATGAAAAACAGATGTGTGTTTTCAGAGGAAGGTATGAGGCACAGAACTGAAGGACCCAGGGGGACCTGGTGTGGGACCCCACCCCAGTCACACTACAGGTGAGATCCCATCAGAATTATCCTGGTAAAAGGGGAGGGCAAAGGCTGACAGCCTCCTGCAGTGGAGTGAGGGTGGAGCCGGGAGCCAGGGGAGAATGGCAGGAAGTAGTGAAGGACTGTGGTTCTGAGATAAGGCAACAGTGCCAAGGCCAAGGTGATGGAGTGGTGGGCTGGCCCAAGCTGCTGCTGGACCACCTACAGGCAGCTGAGACCTTCCACCCATGGGGACTTGTGACCAGCACAGGCTGTGCCAGTCACAGGTGTTTCTGTCTGGGCCCACCTGGCCTGGGAGCTGGAGGGGCTGGGTGAGCTATGGAATTGCCTTTAAATCTTCAAACTCAAGGTTAACAGAATTCTGTAGCATTTAATACCATGGTACTTTTCTTGTTGGTGTTTCCGCTTGCTTTGTTTGCATAGGACAATCCTGAGTTTTAAGGGGAGGCTGTCCTACACACAGGAAGCAAACCTGAGGAAGCTCTGAAATGTGAACGTAGCCTCCCCGGGGACCCACATCCAAAGGAAGGAAAACAGGATACAGGGACCCCTGAGAAGATGGCCTGTATATCTGAGAGCTGTGCCCCCTCTGCAGCCTACCTGGGAGGGCTGTTGCCCCTGCCCAGCCCCGTGGGCCAACTGCTGCTTGGCTTGGAAGTCCCGCCCACCCACCACCTCTGGTGCCTGATGGAGGGGAGGCCAGAGTCTGAGGGAGGCCGCCCTGGGTGAAGGGGTCAGAGGTGAAGGGTGGAAAGAGTAGTCCAGCATGAGGTGGTGGTTAACAGCATGGGTTCCATTCAAACCCCTGCTCCACCCCGACCAAGTGTGATCTTGGACAGCCTCTATTCTCACTTGTAAAAGGACCTACTGCCCACAGCTGCTATGAGGACTGAATTAGTTTACATTAATCTCGGAGCAGCGGGAGCAGTGCACTTGGCCAGCAGTTGTTACATCGATGCAGAGTGGCTAAGAACACGGAGTCTGGCAGCCCTGGCACTGCGGGCTCACGAGGCCCCTTTCCCTGTCCATAAACCACAGGTCATGTCCATAGCCCTAGCCCAAAGTTGAGTTAAACAGTCCATCCAGGAGCACGTGGGAAGGCCAAAGTAGCCCTACAAGATCCTGAAAGGTGAAACTGAATGTCTGACTTTCGTTCCCTGGGCACACTGGGAATTCCTGAGGCCAGGAGAGGTGCCAGAGCAGCTCCACTGGTGACTGGTGACTCTGCCCCACAACGGCTGACCCATCTGGCGTGTAGCATCTGGGTGGTTTCTGTCGACAAAGCCACCCAGCCTGGGGTTTTCAAACCCGCTACTGAAATCGAGTCGGCAGATCACAACCAGCACTCTACATGACACGGGTAACTAGTTTGCCAGCACGTGTTCCGAGTGGCACTGTGAATGCCATCCACACACGCATCACGGTCCGGGCATACCCGGGAATCGGCTCTGCAGCCCGGAGCGCAGGAACAGGTACTGCGGGACGCCCCAAGTGTCGCCTGCGCCAGCAGAGGGCGCCCTGTACACTGCATCCACTCCTGCAGCGACTCTCCCCGCCCCCGCCCCCCCCCCCCAATTGCCCACTCTAGTTCTCTGGGCGCACAAGCAGCCCAAGCCCCCGGAGGGCCCACAGTCCACTTCCAGAGAAGACTGGCCGTAGCGGGTGTCGTCTTGGACCCCGCCCACCTTCTAGCCAGGACTTGGTTTCACACCAGACCCCTCCTGGCTCTCCCGGGCCTGGCCCCACCCAACCCTCTTCCAGTCAACTGCTTCCCTTCCTTCAACTGATCCACTTCCTCCTGTCCACCCAGCCCTTCCTGTAGTCTTCACTCTCCCCTCCTTCCTTTTCTGTTTCCACCTTTCACCTCCTTGGGGGCCACCCCCCTCCCCCGTCTTTTCCAGGACACACACTACACACATGCTACACACATACACACGCACCCAGTTTCTCAGGCAATTCGGCCTTTTATTTTTGAAAATAGTTCTGCAGGTTCAACTTTCTTCCATGAACTGAGGTCAGGCAAGACACAAAAACACAGACAGTGCTCTCCAACCCTCCTCTGCATCCCACAGTGACTGGACCCAGGCATCTAGGGAATGGGAAGGGACATTGGACCACCCTGTCCGGGCTGCCCTGCCTCCCCTGAGAGGTCTCAGGCAGGAGCCTGTGCAGCAGACCCCAGGGAAAAGGGACAAGGGGCTGAGCTCTCTTCCTCCAAGCCCACCCGGAACCTGCCTAGAGTGGCAGGAAAGGGGTCAGCTTTCAGAAAGGACAGGGTCCAGGATCAGGGCAGTGAGTCTCTTCTAGGCTGGACAGGGAGAATGCCCTGCGCACCAAGGCCCACTGCCAGGGGCAAGCGGAGGTTCGGCCTTTCTTTTCCCCTTCAACTTCTCATCGGAGAACCCTGAACTGTTGGGCTGTGGGGACGGAAGAGCGTGAGGAGGTCAGGGACCTGGAGAGAGGAAGAGGGAAACACAGGTGGGAGGCAGAGACCCTGACAACCCAGCAGCTGTACCCAGACCCTGATGGTAAAACCCCTTTGGTTAGTCTGATTTTGGCCACAAGTATGTTCCCTTCTCACAAAACCCAGCTCCCCCTCTAATGCAGGGGAAGGGTCAGGTGTGAGAGGGGGCTCATACCCTGGCTGTGAGAGCCAGCACCGGGAAGAGAGGCCTGGTCAACAGCACTGAGGCTGCCAACCTCTGCAGACGCCCGGGGAGGACTGACACCTGGCACACAGAAGCTGTGGCCACGAGAGCGGAGCAAGCCCATCTCGCCCTATGACAGTGACTTCCTGCTTAATACCCCCCAACATACTGCGGAAGTTTCCCTGATTTGACCATCTTGAGAATAGAATAATCTTCACCTTGTCATCTGTGCACTCGAATGCCACTCGAGAAATTTAAAAAAATAATAATAAAAAGATAAATGGACCCAAGAGAGAAACAGAGAGGGCGATGTAGACCCCTGGTGGGATCCTCAGTCCTCTCAGCACGGGAGGCGGCAACGCTGGGGCCCAGGAGGGACAGGCAAGCAGCTAATTCCAGCTGGGATCGTAGCCGCCCCAGGTCTGCGGGGGCGCCAGGTGGACACGGCGGCCCCGGAACAGGAAGCTGACGATGCCCCTGTAGCCTGCCCTCGGGACCCCCGACTTGAGGTCGTCCATGACTCCCAGGGCCTTGGCAAAGGCTTTGAAGCTGTCCCTGCCGGTGTACTGCACCCGCACCTCCCCCAGCTCATTCTGCTCGCTGGTCCTCACTTTCTCCACCTGCAGGAGGGGGGCGCCGTAGACGCGGGCCAGGAAGTCCCTGTCGTAGGTCTCCTGCCGCAGGTAGGACAGGTCCAGCTGGGTGAAGGGCACGAAGTGCTGGTTCAGCTTGATGAACTTGAGGTGCTGGTCAAAGAACTGCCCGTGGCTCACACCCTTGCGGCCGAAGGTCATGGTTCTGGAGATCTCCGGCCGCACGCAGGCCCGGCCCTGCCGCTGCTCTGGGCGCCGCATCCAGTCATCCCAGAAAGCCTTGGGCCACTTGGGCTCTAGCTCCGCCCACAGCTCGGCCAGCAGCAGCCAGCCCAGGCCGGGAAAGAAGTCGGTGCGGTAGAGCAGCTCCGGCTTGCTCGCGTCCACCATCTGCTCCTTGCCGTTGTCGTTCCAAGCGGACACGCACCAGAGGGAGGGGTCAGCCCTCAGCAGCGGGTAGGTGGCCTGGAAGTACTCAAAGAAGTCCGGGGCCACCTCCAGGTCATCCTCCACCACCACCACCGCAGGGAACTTGAACCTATGGAAGACCTGGCCCAGCGCCCAGCGGTAGTGGCGCGCGATCTTGTAGTAGCCCTGGAACTTGCGGTGGTCGGGCGGCACCGGGATGGTGCTCAGGTCCGGCTGTCGGATGTGCGTGAGGGCGCTGCCATAGGAGGCGATCACCTGAGCCGTCTCCTCGTGCCCGCAGTCCTGGCTGACGATGATGGGGAAGCGCTCGGCCGACGGCCGATAGTGTAACAGCTTGTCCAGGCAGCGCCGGACCGTGCTGCGGTCACAGGCGATGACCAGGATGGGGATCACAGCTGGCGGCGAGGTCGCATGCGCGTGAGGCGGCGCTGGGGGGACTGCAGTGGGTGCCCTCCACCGCTGGCTGCGCCGCACATGGTAGTCCCAGATCTGCTGCAGCAGCCCCCGCTGCCGCTCTAGCTCCACCTCGGTGTCCTGGGCCAGGCGGATCACCTCGCGAGTGAGCCCAGCGGGGTCGTCATCCAGCGCGCTGTCTGAGGGCAGTTTGCTGGGCGCAGGGCGGGTCCAGAAGAACAGCAGCAGCAGGGCGTTCCAGGCCACAAAGAGGACGGCGCCCCACAGCACAAGCCCTGCGGACTGCTTCTTCAGCATCCTGGCCCCCGCGGGGGAGGTGCCAGGGGGGCTCCAAGCTGCCCTGCTGGCCGGGCTCACTCCCCGCACTTCTAAGGGTGTCCTCTGGGCTTTGGGATCAGGAAGCAGCCATGCACCTAGGAGAGAAGAGAGAAAGACAACCTTCATCATGAAGGCATGGGCAGGCCTGGGGCGGAGGGTGCCGTGGGGGTGCAGCAGCAGCAGCAGCAGCAGCAGCAGCGGTGAGAAGTGCAGGACAGGGCCAGGAGGAAGCTGCAGGGCTCTCTTAGAAGGGAGCTACCCTCCCCTAATCTGGGTGGTCATCTGAGTGGGAGGGGGGATGGGGCAACGCACCTCCCACCCCGAAGTGAGTTCAGGAGTCCTCAGAAAACCAATACATGTTTAAAGAGGAAGGACAGTCACGTTGCTGAAAGAGAAGAGGCAAAGGAACCCCAGCTCCCCTCCGCTCCTGACCGATTTCACTTCCCATTTTCTAGCCAAAGCTGGGGTGCAGTGGGAGGGCCCAGATGAGACCATGTTTCCCATTATCAAATCAAATTGCTCCAAGATTACAAAATTAAAAAGTCAAATATCACACCTCAGGCCTAAAGCCAGCACCTTACCCAGTAAGGAAGCACCAGAGATGTTCCCACAGCAGTCAGGAGCAAAGGCAAGCGCCCACCATCTCCATGGAGGGTCAGCCAGCACACCCAGAGCACGGAAGGAACCGGAGGCGAAGGAGCGGGGCAGAGGCGACTGTCCCCATTTGCTGACTCGGGAGAACACACGCGGAAATTCTGAGAGGACGAGTGGTAAAACACAACGCAAACCATTGAAGAGCTGACCGAGGGGGCAGGATATAAAAACTGACCTGCAAAAATCAACAGCCCTCAGAACCACAAATAGCTCATTAGAAAAAATGGATGAGAAAACCCTATTTCAATCACCATTAAAACAGTAAACTACTTAGGCATAAACTTAACAAGAAATGTTCAAAACCTCTATGAACAAAACTATAATTCCTAAAAGACACAAAAGACTGAAAAATCCCATGTTCTTATGTAGGACATCTCAGCATAATGAAAACTCTCCATGAAAATACCTTTTCACGAAGCGGGACAAACTGACACTGAAGTTCATGTGGAAAAACAAACCTGCACGAACAGCCCTGAAAATCAGGAAAGCAAGCTGAGGAGAGGGACCAGCACTCTCAGATACTAAAGCATTACATGTCACAAAGCCTCCATAGTTAAAACTATGTGGTGCCGGTAGGTAAACAAACAGATCATTCAACGGACTAGAATTTAAAACTCCAGAAATAGACCCAGCTACACACAGAAATTTCATATATGATAAAGGTAATATTTAGAAATCCTGGAGCAAAATACTGTCTTAGTAATAGTGTTACAACAACTGTCTCTTTGGAAAAAATAAATAAAATTAGATCTGTATGCAAGAGTAGCTTCTAAGTGGCTCAGGGCCCAAAATATAAAAAATAAAACTATACAAGTGCTGGAAGAAATCAAAGGTCCACCCCTCTGTAACCCAGGTACAGGGGAAGACTTCCACAGCACACTTGAAACCCAGATCCAGTAACACAGAAGATACTCTCCCATTTCTCTGGGGCGTACATCCAGAAGTGGATTTGCTAAAAACACATACGCCAAGTAAAAAGTCAAGTGACAAACCAGGAGAGAATATTCACAACACAAATCACAAATAAAGAGTCAATACCCTGTAGACAAAGAACTTTTAAAAAGGGGGGAGAAGAGAGACAAAAGGCCAAAAATCCTTTTCTAAAAGGCAAGGGCAAAGAGACTAAAATGGTCCTCAGACATATGAAAAGATGATCCACTTCACTCATAAGAAAAACGTAAATTAAAACCATTACCTAGCAGGCCAGTAAAAATGCAAAAACTTGTCCTTCCATTCTCTTAACAGCAGCCACCAAAGAAAGGTTCTTAATTTTGAGGCTGTCCAATTATCACTGGTTTTTTTCTCTTATGAATCATGCACTGAATCTTGAAAGTCTTTGCCTAACCCAAAATCAGAAAGATTTTTCCGTTTTCTTTCTTTTTTTAATCTTCACTCAAGGATATGTTTATTGGCTTGAGAGAGAGAGAAACATCAACATGAGAGAAACAGCTATCGACTGCCTCTTGCACACATCTGGACCGGGTATCAAACCATCGGCCCCAGTATGTGCCCTGACCAGGGATCAGCCCAAACCTTTTTTGAGGGGTACAGGATGATGCTCCAACTGAGCCACCCAGCTGGAGCCCTGTTTGCTTTTTTAATTTTCTAATTTTAGGGTTAACATCAGAGGTTTACAATTCACTTTGAGTTAATTTTTGTATTTGGTGTGAGGTATGGAACTAATGTCCTTTTATAGCAGTTTGTCAAAATGCTAGATGGACAGTTACCACAGGACCCAGTAAATCCGCTCCCAGATATACACTCCAGAGAAATGAAATTACGTGCCCATACAAAAACCTGCATGGAATGTTTGTAGCAGCTTTACTCACAATTGCCAAAATCTGGAAACATCCTGAAGGTCCATCAACAGGGAATCCGAAAAACCCAGCTGTGATTTACCCACAGAATGGAGGGGCAGTCAGCGGTAAGGAGGAAGAGCCTGCTGATGTGTATACACGGGACACACGGATGTCTCAAGTCAGTGAGATGCGAAAGCCCAAGGGAGAGCACATGCAGTGTGATCACATGTGTCTCGGGAAAACACGAAGCAGCCCACACAGACGGAAAGCGCATCAGCCTGGAGGTGCGCTGGTGAGGACAGCTGGGCAGCCCGACAGGGGCCGAGAAACTTCGGGGGACTGTGTGGCGGCAGTTTCGTGGACAAGCCCCTATGTCCAGACTCACTGCATCGTACGTTTTAAATATGAACTTCCCACTTTTTGGCCTTTTGGCTAAAGTCAAATGTAAATACGTCCCATTTACTGCATGTCAATTATACCTCAATGAAACTGTTTTCTGTGAAGACATTACCAGGTCCAGTGACAAACTGGAATGCGGGGCGGGCAAAAGCAGGGTCATGATTGTGAGCCCGGCAGACATGGAGTTTGTTCCTGTGTGATTTGCGAATCATTGTATTATTTCCATACAAAGCACCATAAACCTCCTTTGGCCCGCCCCGTGCAGACAGCCGAGTGTCACCGGTGCCTGACCAGCCACACGCGGCGTGGGAAGGAACACCCGACTCTGCGTTGACACAGGCTGAAGCAGGTGGGGTGGGGGCTCCGAGAGATGCGACTTCTCAAACGGTTCGGAACAAAAATATTGCGTGTATGTATATGAAGAGACAGCGCAAATGGAGCCCACAGTTAACAGGACACGAATCTCAAGTAAAGGATGGGTGTGTCCTTATGCCATTTTGATTCTTGCAATTTTTCTTCAATCACTCTACCACCTGCCGGCTGCTAGGCTCTGCAAAGGGCTGGGCCACGCGCCCAACAAGGAAAAGCAAGGGCCCACCAGCCCTCACTCTGCCCGACCCCCTTACCTTAAAGGGTCTACCACTCCCTCCGACTCTCGGGCAGCTGCCATTCCTACCGTGCGATCCTCTCCCTGGCCTTCCTGCCTCTGGTCTTGCTCCACTACACGCCCCAAACCTTCAGTATGTGCCCTCCTACACCAGCTGCCCTGCCAGGTACCCTCCGCCTCACAGCCCAGTCCCCCAATCCCTGCCACGGCCTTGGCTCCAGATGGAATCTCTGCGCTCCTGGGCTCACAAGCAGGCAGACCCGCTCTGTCCCCTCCTGGGGAGAACCCCGGCGCCCGCCAACACCACCACCTGTCTTTCCTCCCAGAAATCATCCACAGCCTACAGCCCGATGCCACCAGTCTTCACAGAACCTTGAGTCCCCTTCTGTTTTACGGTGTCACTGATTTCCCACTTTGTCAGCGACTATACACCATCCAGGGCTTCCTGGAAGAAAGACTCGTGGATCCCAGGATCTTCCTCCCCCTGCCTCAGGATGCAGGCCCTGTCGGAACGGAATGCTCAGTCTTCCGAAGGCCCCTCCAAGGGCTGGTGTTTCCGCAAGTCTGGAAACATGAGAGGCCCACGGCCCACAGCACACAGTGGCCATAGAACAGCCAGGCCCCCATCCCCGGGCCCTCCAGCCTGGGCCCCTTTTCAGTAACTTCCCAAACAGAACTTGCTCCTTTTGCCGCAAAGGAATGCAACACACCCGCTCCCAGGCCCCGTAGCTTCTCCACTGGGGCCTTGCACCATCCCAAGGCTGTTTCCAACGCTCGCCTGAGTATTCCTCAGAGCCAGACCGCGCTCTCTCTTTGGAGCTAGCGGTTCGCTGTAGGCACAGACACAGGAGCACATGCACTGCTCTGCGTCAGTGGGACCATAGGGAGGACAGGGAGGAAGGAGGGCAAACCAGACAGCCTGGGGCAACACTCGGCACTGCCCTATGTTTCTGTTTCTTCACGTCTCTGGGACTCAGTTTTCTCACCCCATCAAACACCTCATGGGGCTGCTATGAGGACTGGGTGATAACCCACGTCAGGCATTCAGAACAGTGCCTGGCACGTGACAACAGAAATACCAGCCAGTCACTCGTTTGTCCCCTTTCTGCTGGCTGTCTCTGCTCCACTCTTCTAGACTCCTTCCCAGCCCCAAATACGCACACTCACCTCAGGGCCTTTGCATGGGCCTGCAGCCTGCTGTGCTGACTCGTCTCAGGACTGGGCGAGGTCCACCTGTCCTTCAAACTAGCGGCACCCAGCACCTCTCGCTCATCTCAGCATCTGTCAAACCTCTAGATTACAAGTTCCTTGAGGACAGGGACCAGCGGCCCCAGTGGGTCAAGCTGCTGTGCTGGGACCCTCGATGTTCAAGAGATTTGCCTGTGACCTAAAACCTGGCTTCGGTGCGGATGCCACACACCCACAGTCCCTTAACAGCAAACCTCAAGTCCAAAAAGAGCTGAAAAACAGAAGTTTTCTACACTCAGTTGGCAGTAAAATGTGCCTTAAATTCATGTGGTAAAATCTGATCTTATCTAATGTGAGGCTATCTATAGCGTTTATTTATCCCACTTAGTGTGACTATTCATACATTCCGCTACAGGAATAAATATGTTGGATTACGGTGTGCTGCTCCAGACTGTACACTACATCATAAATGCACCAAATCATCTTTTTTTAAAATAAAAAATTCTAAATTCTGAAACACATCCAGCTCTAAGAATTTCAGAATTATGAAAATGGAAGACAGTTATTCAAAGCCATCATCCCATTATCAAGCCTGAATTCTCTGTCCTTATTATAAAGTATTATTTTAAGCCTGAATCATTGATGGAGCCACTGCCTGCAGAACAAAACTCACACCCAGGACACACAAACTGCCTTCATAGCAAACGGACTCCGATGTCCATTTCCAAACTCACCCCCAGCCCCTGCCCCACCGGCCCCCCACGCTGGTCTCACAGGCGGCTTACGTGGCCATCAGCACACTGGTCCCGCTACATCTGTGCTCTGGCTGCCCCAACCCCCTGCGAGCACTCAGACGTCCCTCAGGGCCCAGTCCAGGTGAGTCCTTCTGGAACAGCCCTGGCAGAGCCGGGCCTTCCTGCAACTGCACGCCCACTGCACTCTCCATGCCGCCCGCCCGCCTCTCCCCTCCATGCTGTAACAGAACCTGGAGCTGTCCCTTAGGCTCTCGCCTGCTCCTTAGGGAAAAGGCTCCATGACCTCCAAGCCTATCACGTGGTCGGAAGAGGACTGACCGCATTATTAACTGAACCAGGGTGTGACAAGATCA